AGTTCCAAGTCGAGGGTGAGAAAAATGTCGTGAAGTCGGCCGGTAGTGAGGATCACGTAAGTTGTTACCTGTATTTAAATCATTTGATGTTAATGTCGATAAATGTTAATGTATATAGTTATGGTTTAAGAGAGACTGTTGGTGCAAATGTTCGGTATATAAGTATATGTTCATGTTTGCATATCAACGGCAGCGTGTACAAATAAACCTCCATTTGTAGATTATATATGTATTTTCACACGTACACCTGTCCATCCAATCACACATCCAACTATCCTATCTACACGTACATAAACATATACCATAAATTCACGACGCATTCATTTTACATCAACCAAAATTCATTCCCATCTCTTCACTGAACGGCCTTCCAGCCGCAGGAGCTCGGTGACTCGCCCAACCTTGGCGAAATTCTGAAGAAATGTCGCAAAGAGAACCCAGACTCTTCCCCAGAGATACTGAAGCGATGCCCTCAGGAAGCACGGGGCTCCATCGGGGAGAGAGCGGGGAGGAAAGGGCTCTATGGCACGGAGCGGGGAGGGTAAGAGAAAGTTTTATATATATATATATATATATATATATATATATATATATATATATATGTGTGTGTGTGTGTGTGTGTGTGTGTGTGTGTGTGTGTGTGTGTGTGTGTATATGTATATATATATATATATGTATAAATATATATGTATATAAATATATCTGAAAGGAAACTGCCACAGTAAGAAATTAAATTGAAATGTAACGTTTCGAACTCTTCACGAGTTCCTCTTAAAAAATGGATCGATATTTTTTTTATCCGTTTTTAGTATTTCATTCGTCTGAAGAGGAACTCGTGAAGAGTTCGAAACGTTACATTTCAATTTTCATTCTTACTGTAGCAGTTTTCCTTTCATCTCTGTGTACACGTTACCGTGTTTGTGTTTGTGTCATGAATATATCTATATATCTACATATATGTATAATATATATTTATATGTATATATAGATAAATATTTATAAATATATATATATATGTACATAGATATGCATATATATACATAAATACATATATATATATATGAATATATATTTATATTTATATATATATATATATATATATATATATATATATATATATATATATATATATATATATATATAATATGTATATGTGTGTGTATATGTATATTGTTGTATGTATGTATGTGTGCATATACATATCAGTTTGAATAATAGTAATGATAATCAGAAAAATAAGCGTTATTTATCCTGAACACAGTTCATGATAAATAACACACACACACACACACACTCAGTACATAGATAACATCATTTCAATCAATGTAACGTCTGTCTCCATCACCGAACTTAATCACGAGCAGCATCATGCGGAAAACTCTACAAACTGAAAAAAGGAGCAAAGAAAACCTTCCGAGTCATAGGGATGGAGGACTCATGTGAAGCTTTCTTTGAGGTTAGTTTGTCTTATGGCGAAGAGTATATTGTGTTACCCTCAAATTAGTGTGGTGTTTTTTGTTACCAATTTGTATGCTATTTTTGTTTTCCGAATTAAGCTGAAAGGTATGGGTTAGTATATATAGTCTACTATATTTTCTATATTATATTTCTATTTCTATGTTATCTATATTTTTTCTATTACTTTCTTGTATCAATTGCCTTTCTCATGCTGTTTGATAACACCTGTCTTTTCTTCTCCCCCCCTGGTATGCAGCCAAAAGGAAAAGCGAAGCTGGGAATTGGTTTGCAAAAAGTTCAGTCTCTCGAGTTGCAAACAAGAAATTTTTGTCGTTGCTGACCAAAACTCCGAGGACACGTGAGTCTTGAATTGTGACTGTTGATTGTTTTGCTTGTGAATAATTGTCGTCTGTGTGCCTGTATCTCCTCCTAAGTGCTTTCTGATTTTTTTTTGAGCCCAGAAATATCTACAGCTATATCTTCAAATCAGTCATAATCACTTTTGTACTAACGATTCTTTACTTTGTTTAGTCTCAAACTAACCAGCCGAAATCTGCATATAACCCGCCTTTGGATGATTCAAGTAATGTACCGCATAGAAATTGGAAAACATATAACACGCTTTCGGTTGATAAAACTTTTCTCCCTTTTATAGGTATTGCGATAACAATAAACCAAGCAAGAGAACGGGGTTAGACTACTTACAACTCACGTACTTGAAAGTCGGTGACACCAGCGATAGGCCAAATATCTTGTGTACAGTCAAAGGCGTTAAAGGTGAGTACAGAAGCTCACATATGATAAAGCCTCCGGGCTAGTACAGTGGTAACGTGTCGGCCTCTCATCCGAGGGGTCGGCGGTTCGCGCCCCGCCCAGGCGTGAGAAGTTGCAATTGTCGCCTGGAGGTTACTGCTGTGGCTGGGCACCACAGTGGGTGAGGACTAAGCTCATCCGAGTCAGCACCTGCTGACACATTGTTAGCGAGTAGTCGACATTAGTCGCAACCAAGCGGGCTCTCCATAGCCCGGGGAGGCTCAGCTTC